AGTCAATAGAGTAGCATCGATTTTTCATTTTGACTGTCATTAACTCATCACCAGATGGATCAAAAATTGTGCAAAATTGTTCTTTAAACAAAAGGGTATAGTGATTTTCAGCCAGTTGACCCACACTTGGAAGATTTTGTGTCACTTCAGGCACATAATGGACCTCTGAGATGTATTTGGTGCAATTCACTGTTTCCACAACTACTGTTCCTATTCCCATAATCTTCAAATAAATCCCATTTCCAATTCTTACTCTTGCCCTGAAGTTTCTGTCAAGCTTGGTAAAGAGTTGATCATTCCCTGTCAAGTGATTAGAACATCCACTATCTATGAGCCAAGTGTTCCTTTCCTCATCATCAGCAATCTGAGCCATAAAGAGTTGTTCTTCTGTCGCATCTACTTGATCTGCAACTGCTGCCTTTTCATCTGTGTGACCATTCTTGGCTTTACAAACCTTTTCAACATGACCGAAGTGGTTACAAGACCTACACTTAACATTAGGCCTAACATTAGGCCTGTACCAACAATATTTAAGAGTATGGTTCCTTTTTTTACAGTGCTGACAGGGAGGAAATTTATTTCCTCGTTTGTTTTGCTTGCCATCACCATTCTTCTTTTCTTTATCTCCCCTGACGCTGTCATGTTTTTTAGCACTGTAGTTGCCAAGTCTGAGATCCTTGGTCCTTGCTGTAAGGGCACTCTCAACACTCCCTCCTTGACGAATGGCTCTTCTTTGTTCTTGTGCTTGTAACGCATTTATCAATTCAGTCACTAAGAGTTTAGACATATCCTTCGAGTCTTCCAAAGAGGAGATTTTTGCTTCAAATTTTTCTGGTAAGCTAACCAGAAATTTATGCACAATCCTTCTGTCAGAAAGCTCCTCTCCCAATAACCTCAGTTGATTGACAATCTTCAAGACTTTTTCAAAATAGTCTTTTATGCTTTCATCTTCTCTCATCTTTAGCACCTCAAACTCCCTCATCAAATTGAGTACTTGAATCTGTCTCGTTTTATCACTGCCATGAAATTCCTCTTTAAGCTTGTCCCAAGCTTCTTTTGGAGATTCACAAGCCATAATTCTTGTGAAGATTGAGTCAGTCACGGTAGAATGAATACAGGAGAGAGCTTTATAATGCTTAGCCACCTCCTCGCTGTGCTTCTTTATCTGAGTAATGGTAGGATTTACGTACCTCATAACTGGGGGTTCTCCCTTAACTTTTACAACCTCCTGTAAATCAAAGGCTCGGAGGTAAGCCTTCATTTTAACAACCCATATAGGGTAATTTTCTCCTAAAAAAACAAGTGGAGTGGAGGCATTGTAACCTGTAGAAGCCATTGAAAAACAATGAAATGTAGGCAAAAAAGAATACTAAGATGATACTGGTTTTCACACATGATGAAAAGAAAAAATAAAATAAAACTAAGTCCCTCAAGATACCTCTTACAGCTCTGATACGATGTTAAGAAACATACTTTGGTGATGATTAAAATAAA